CTATTCGCTGATAGCTGCCAACATCTGTGAACAGATATAATTCTATAAAGTTGTTCTGTGTGTAACTGTTCATATAGAGCGTTATTACATTTATTGCTAATGCAATCATACAGCACACTGACTTCTGAGGAAATTTTAGATGAACATGCTGCAGGTATTACAGGTACTGCGCTGCACTGGTTTGTATCGTATCTGTCTAACAGACTCCAATTTGTTCATGTAATGGAGAGTCTTCTTCACACATTAAAGCTAATCACGGAGTTCCACAGGGTTCAGTGCTAGGACCAATTCTGTTTACATTTGCGCAATATCTCTAAAATGAGAAATATCCTGTCTCAGAGTGATGCTGAAAAACTAGTTCATGCATTTATTACTTCAAGGCTGGACCAGTGTAATATGTTATTATCAGGATGTCCTAAAAACTCCCTGAAAAGCCTTCAGTTAATCCAAAATGCTGCAGCAAGAGTCCTGACAGGGACTAGAAAGAGAGCAGATTTCTCCCATACTGGCTTATCTTAATTTCTCCTACAATGGGTGACCATAAGGTCTGGGCTCACAGTTAGTAATAGAATGAGTAACTCAGTCACTTGGGAAGGGCTCAGAGTAGAGCTGGTACTCTAATGCATCAAAACAGCCAGTTTACATCATCCCAAGCGATCTCCACAGTGATTCTACTGTACAGCAATGCACAAGTAGAAATAGAAGCAAGACTACAATGCTGAATGTGTGAGTCAGAGCTGACACATGTCAACCAAAAATAAATCCTTGGAAAAAAGTTAATCTGACTTCACACCTGTTTTTTAAGCTTCATGAATATGGTGAACTTGAAAAAGCAGATGTTTAACTGAAGTTTCTGTTGTTCCATGAAAACAGAAAAAACTATTCACATAATATTGCAAGTCGACATCTAACTGTAGTGAAGCAGTCTAAGGGATTACTTTGTGTTCCAACAGTTTAGAGTGCAGAGCGCTGCAAAATGAGAAAAGATATGTCAGACTGAGTAAACTGTTTTAACATTTAGACCAAACTAAATACTTAGAGTTTATGTGGTCTAACCAGCAGATGGGTTAACATAACATATCAATATTTAATGTGTCCAAGTTAGAAAGGCCAACAGAGCTTAATTTATTATTTAGTTGCTGTATAAAAAAACTTTCATTTATGTGATGCAACCTCTGGATCCACTCGCTGCGTACAATATAGTATATGTTAATATCCATTTTCTGATCCAAAAATCCCATTGTTGTCATTGACATCACTAGAAATATCAGATTGCAAACTGAC